CAGGCCATTACATTTTAAGTTAGAGTGGAATTAAAATGCAGCTGCAGGTCTGCCATCTCTCACCCTGAGCTATGGGTCAATGCTTGCTGAACCTGACAAGCAGATACACACTGTTGCTACTGAGTGCTGGTGCAATGCAAGCCAAACAGTTGAAAAAAAGCGTATGAGACGAGATTTGCCTCTGTTTGGAATGATTTTACAGCTTTGCCTTGTGATTTCTTAATAGATCTTTGGTTATTAATTTTATATAACTTGATAAGTAAATCATAGTTAAAACCCTGGTTTTGCATGTACAAGGTGACATTAAGAATCTAGGTATTAACAGCAGTTACCATTTGCATTGAAATAATTCAAATTTAATATTAAACTCTAGCCTTTTATTATAAAAAAAGACTCAAAAAGGAGTACTGGACACAAATTCAGTAAGACTGCTTCTAAATGCTTCCTGCTTAAATAATAAAATCCTGACTTAACCAAGAATCAATGATAAAAACTCCCAAATACCACTTTATTTTTCTGACAGTATCTACGGTTTTTTAATAATATGCACTGTGCCTGAATTAGAGCAAGTAGCCCAATAATAATGAGATAGACCGGGTCTCCATTTGCCCTTGGTACATGACCACCTTCAATAAGCATCTGACAGAAAATCTGTGTCTGATGAAAAAAACTGATCCGAGGTAGTAACTGAGTTTTGCACTCTCAGTGGACAGGACATCGTCAGCTGGGTAAATTTTTCCATTGTGCGTTTCACGATTGCCCCATTCTGTGAAGCTACAACTGTAAAGCACAGTTAAACTAACAAAAGAAAAAGTACTGGAAACTAATAAAGCACAATCTAAAAAGAAACAAACTTAGGAATGCAGTGAATGTTTTTCATTAATTATTTCACATATGGTTTTTATTGCTATCCAAAAAGGTCTAAGTGTCTCCTATTACTTTATAATAAGTGAACAAGTGATTCATATATGGAGCTTCTATCATTGAAAACCAAAATCCAACATGGAATCTCAGTGAAAAAAATTACCTTTTATCTTAAAATAAGCCAGGTCTTTAACTTCTGGGTATAAAAATATGAATGCTTTATGATTAATACTTTTAAAATGTCTCTGCTGAAGTAAAAAGCAAGATGGCTTTTATAGGCAATTATAAACACCTGCTAGTAAAGAATTTAAAAGAATAACTTTAGCTAGTGTCCTTTTAAGGCTGTAGTAAGCACCTGTTCACTTCGCCTACAGCTTTATTGGATTTTCACAGAATTTTAATACCTCTTTGGTACTGGATTTTATTGTAAAAAGGTTGCCCTGGTTTACAAGGATAAACAAACAAATATTCAAAAATAAGCTGAAAAACCTAACCCCAAAAATCTCTTCAGCGAATGTATGGAAGTGTGTATAACACTTCCCTCACTGGATTGGCATCACCGAAGTGATCCCGTCTGTATTACTTCTGCTACAGCGTATATCCAGATGCATAAAGTTCAGGACTAACCTTAATGTGGAATAGATGTAACTCAACCCAAGTGGGAGAGATGAAGGTACTGAGAGAACAAAACCGGGTACTAAGATGGAAGGTACGTGACCAACACTGGTAACGCACGTGGCCTTGGCATGGTGCTAAAGAGGGGACACGGAAGTGACCGGCTGCAAGGCAGCTGCTGCTCCCCATGCTGCTGCTGCAGGCAGGAGGAGAGAATTGCCTAGCTCTTGCTGACATTTACAGGCAATACCTGCTGCACGCTCTCTGGGGGACTCCATACCAAAGTCAATTCACACATCGAAGCTAATGACTTGCACTACTGAAGCGCATTTGAGATTCTCACTCTCTCCTCAGGTCTTTCACTTTTATAGCTCACACATACTATCAACAGAAATCACAAGGAATGTGCACAGAGAGGCACAATACAGATAATATTGCAGTAATTTCTGCTGCTAGAAAAATAAGATTCCAAGAACTAAATGTGCAAAAACATATTTATCTACATTTTGTGGTCCTGTACTGTACTGACATGTTTCAAAGCAGTTTAATAGCAGAATCAAAAAAAAGGAAACAAAGTGATTGCAGGATGTTCAAAGCGACACAGAATTGTCATCTTCCATCCTATTATCCCACACAAACACCTTCTGCTATGATAGTTTGCAATTTCACTGTGTTTCCAAACTTATTTTATGTGTGTATAAAGACAAGGAAGTATTTTTACACAGATTTGCTGTAAAGCTTGACAGTTTGCACACCAGCAGTCTCCTTCACTCAATTGTGAGAAAGTGCATTGCCACAATCGTTAGGGCAGGAGGTGTGTGCCAGGGGTGTAGGCAGTGTTTCCCACACAGCCTAGTGACATGAGCAGCTCAGGGGAGCTGCTGTAACTTAATCCCATGCTAGAGACTGCTCGCCTCTAGAGGCAAAGGCTGACAGGCCACAAAGGAGTGTTAAGGCAGCTATAACTTTTCATGCCTTTGGGTTGCAGAACAGGAAGCTTCTGCACAAACAGCACGAGCAAAGGCTGCCCTTCATCCCACTCTGCCCAAGACAACTCTGTCCAGCTGCATGGGATGTATCTCCAGAAACCACATTAACTGTCTGTGCAACTCTCCAACTTTCTGACTGGTTGGGCCAAGGTGCCAACTGGAAATTGGCTTATTTATGTGGCAACTATCAAGTACAAAACAGGCTAAAGTCACCTGCCGTGAACAGGACGTTGCACTACAGAGAACTGGTTGAATACCGCTAAGCTTATACTTGGAAAGGATGGAGGACCCTCTGCAACTATAGTAACTAACAGGCGGTTACTTCTGTGGTAGTAAACACAACACAAAACCTAACACGGCCTTACACACATGCAGACACATACTGTAAAAGTTGTCAAAAAATACACTCATTGGTCCATATAAAAAAAAAATTTTGGAGGCTGAGTCCTGCTAATCACAACTTCATCCATGTTAAAGGCAGAATGATGTTTTGCCACTATATGTGTTTCAAATGCTAATAAATGTATTTTCTACGACAAGACTTTCTCTCCACCTTCCATGTACGTGGGATCACTGTCATCTGCATCATATTTCTCTTTCATTCCAGTTGGGCTCAGAACAGACTATGGCATGACACACACTGAAGGTACCCATTCATCACTCAGTGAAAGCTCACATCATCTGCAGAGTAACACAACAGACAGCAGGGTACACATCGAGGCCACGTAAGTTATAGCTACCATGATGAGACAACTGAAGGATGGCCCATTCTTGGCAGAACACGTAGAACTGTAGAAGCACATTGTAAGGAAAGAATTGGTATTGAACGTATTTTAGCTGTATTCAACTTGGTTTTCTGAAAAGTTGTATTTGGTAGAAAGTGTATTTTTAATATAAGAGTTTTATTTAATTCTTGTAAAGCTAAACTGCAGCTGGTCTGGACACTACTGATTAGTTTTCTTTTTATAGTAACCATTGCTGCACATACATACTGTCCCACAGCTGGCGTTAGGCAACCTGGCATAAAGAAACATTTCTTCTGTGTTCCTGATGCTTATGCACCCTCTTTCACCCCTCTTGTCTTTGAAGGATGCTTTTGGTAAGCATCAATTTAGAGTATTCTTAAATCTGTAATTTTTCTATGAATTAGAAAAATATAAAGCAATTGGATTCGAGTTGATTTTGCTTTCATTACAACAATTCATACATTAACTTCCAAAAAATTTGAGTGTCTTTTCTTTTTGAAAGAAAATCCAGAGGAGACCAAAAGTAACCAAACTGTGTATAATGTAACCTTGCTGACAGCACAGAATTTGGAGACTACAGATTTGTCAACTAGCAGCAAAAAAGCATGAGATAGAACCTCTGTACATAGATATATGTTGTGTACAGCATGCACTTGGGTTACATGCTTTAGTTTTGAAACTGCATGCTTCAGTATAGTTTGCAGGACATCAAAGCAGAGTAGTTTTGTGACACAAGAAGTAGATTTCTTTTGTTGTCACGTTCCACCACGATCAGATAGACGGCTCCTTTTCCTGTCTGAACAAGCCAGCAGCATCAGGTAGCCACAGAATGCAAGATTCATCAGTGCAAAGACATACGCTTTAGAAGAGACTAATTTTTCATTTTAGGAGACTATATTAAAACCTTCAGTCTCTGTTCTTGTCTAATCAGCATGTATATGTTGTAATATTGGCAAGACAGAAAGCTGAGATAAAACAAATCTTTTAGTTGGCAGTTCTTAATATTCTTATATCTTAGGCAACAATGCAAGACTTCTAGAACCTTATTTGAACACACATTTCTCTCTGAGGAAATTATGCATGTAGTAATTTATTTCAGACTACCCCCAAATAATCACCACATAGACTGCAATGTGCATACGCATATATATTTCCATGATAAGAAAGCTGAAGTATTTATTTAAATGTTCAAAGTTTTTAAGAGATCATTCAGTGATGCTCTTTCATGGTGAAAAGCCAAATAAAAGATTCGTGAGAGTGCTAAATTAGAAAGCGACCGAAGGGCATAGCTTAATTCTTACCTTGGCTGTTTTTTTCACGAGTTGACATTTTTGCTGGTTATGGGACAGAAATAAAATATCTTAAAACTATTTCTAAAGTCTCACTCACACCTACTTGGATGAAGACTGGCACATAGGTCAAAACTTTAGATTTTTGTTTTCATAACCTCCCTCTATTTATGCATATACACACAGAGAAAATAATCAAAAAAGGTTTTTTCTTTCACAAAAGTAAAACGAATCCTCCCACTACCCACCAAAAATTTCTGTCATTCCTAAAGATCCAGTTTGATGAGGTATTTCTCCACTATTTTGAAGATCCTTATACAGGTCTTGAGTAACATTTGGCCAGATAAATTACTGGAGTAATGTTAATTTTATTTTAGCTCTATATCCCTGTTTCATAAGCACACATCCCAACATATCTATTTATAGGAAATACTACTCAGTCAAAAGCGAATCTTTTCAACTTCATCCAGTATTTAAAAATAAATATTTTTATTTACCTTGGCTGACGATGACATCTTTGTGCCTGGGGAAAAATTTAAAATAATATTGTTAATAATACTTGAAATGCTTATCAAGCCAATCCCATCTAGTTCTTATACATTATTGCATATGGCAATCTCATCAGATGCTGTGTACAGTGTAACTGTAGTATAGGATGCTACATAACTAATCTTGGTCATCGTAGTGCATTTTTACTCATATATTATTTTATGCAATTCACTGAATCTTTTGAGTAACTTAAAGTCTTTGGCTCTGTAGCAAGGGTTCCTAAGAATTACTGTGCTAGCAACAAAACGCAAAAAGCTTTTAAAAATAAATTATGAAGGGCATATTCCTTGTGCACGGAAAATTCCATTTTGAGAGAGCAAACTTGTAATAACCAAATGTTTTAAGCTGCCAAACACTCTCAGGCCTGCATGCAAAGCATTTAACACCTGTCAAAATAAGCTGTCAGCACACAACACCACAAATTTTTCTAGGAATTAACCCTGTTGGACACATGGATTAAATGTAAGCAAGTTGCAGTTTCATTTAAACCGGATCCATGTAGCATTACTGGATGTGCAACACAAAGTCTTCAAAGGAATGCAGTTGAGACGTCCCTCCTCGCCAGAACCAGGAATGAACTACTCACAAAAGAGCTCAGTCCTTTTTTGTGAAGAGGGAAGAAATACTAATTTCCAGCATCAGAGCTACTTCTTACCAGAATAACACTCCTTGATGGAAGAATGTATTGCATAAAAAACCCTCTTGAAT